CCTTGGTCTTGCCTCCTGGCGCGTTGCTATCCTCAGTGTTGGGCGAGTCAGGGGCTGGAGTTCGCTTGGTGGCAGCCAGCTGCTTTAAAGCGGACGGTCCTTCTGCAACCGTTGAGTCGAGAGTAGGTTGAGCAGTGGATGAAGTGAGGATATTCAAGTTTTTACCATTCTGCTTGCGGACCTTCTTTGACGAAGACTTAGGCTTTGATGGAGTGGGTTGGCTGGGAGTGGAGGCATTGTGAATAGCAATTTCAAAGCGGGGTGAGCTTCTTTCTGGTGAAGGTGACTCGGCAACGGACTTTTCTGATTTGCGAGGCTTCTTCGTCTTTTTCTTGCGCTCGGGTTCCGAGTCGCGCTTTCGCTTTGAAGGATTCGACATGTTCAAGTCTAATTCTGAGGGGCGCTCTGTACCATGGGCTTTCCCAATTACTGGAGATAATGCTTCGGTTTCTGATGAGATGTGTTTCTTATTATTTTTCTTCGTCCCGCCAACCTTGGAAGGATTGGGAGTTTCAGGGACTGTCAGATTGCAAATTTTAGTACCGAGTCGCGTGAAGATCAAGTGATTTCACCAACCGATATCTTCAAAATCGTCAGGAATTTCAGGGTATGGTTCGAGCTGAGAGGATGTATTTCCCATGGCAATGAGCTGCAACAATGAGTAGGGAGGGGGGAAGATTAGCTGCTGCAATGAAAAGGAGAGACCGAGCTTCTTCAAAATTTACGGCGTGCAATGCGGCAATTGGGTTCACCGCTGAGGCTGACCGCCTATGTGGAACTATATCAATTGCTACAGTACAATTGTCGATGGTTGTAGGAGAAAAATAGAATCACAAAGAAGAAAGGACTTAGGACTAAGATAAAATATGCTAAAGATATAAAGCAGAATTATTGAACAGTCCCAAACAATGGCTGGCCATTGTACAACTTCTCTACGGAGACTCATGTACTCTATACAGTGTTGCATAACAAATGTATTATGTATTCAGACATTTAGCATTCGTTGAACACAGTGCTGGCAGGTATCATGCTCATGATTGCATTAATAGTGTACATGCTGGCATAAAGAACATAAAAAGCAAATGCAAGTCGCGAAACCAATACTCTAGGTCCTACTGACACAGTCAGGACACGAGCTTCATATCCCTTAGGATTTTCATCACTAGTTTCTTTTGGTCATGAGTGTGAAGATTTTGCTGATCGGTCTCCTGTAGACAGCGCCCAATTGCAACAGTGACCTTGACAGCACTTTCTGCAGCGATAGAGCAGTCCACCCACACCTTTCCATTGCGGCCAACTGCAATCTCAAATCCTCCCAAGCTCTCCAGCTTTTTTCCAAGTTCAGAAAGAACAGCCAGCCCTTCAATTGCATCCGTGTTCTCGGCAGAAGTGGAGCTTGCTCGAATCAACCGGGCCGCCATACCAGTTGAAACATCAAATACCATTCCACCTGTCAAGGGTCCCAATCCTCCATCAGCCTTGCCAGTTGCTGGGTTGACACAGGTGAGTTCAACTTCGGCGCCGGCACCGAGTCCCACGGACTGTACCCGGGCATACACCAGCTCGCCTTGCTTCAACATTGGCCTTGTCTTCTTGGATGCGCCCTCAAAGGACAGCTGACCCAGAAGCGCGTGGGCCGTGTGTGGAGTTACCATGCAGTGAAAGAAATCAACGCTGGAGTGGTGGATCTGAGCAATGACGAAGTCGTTGACGGTGGGAATGTATCGGCGATTCGGGAAAGAAAGAAGCGAGACGGTGTTTCGTTTCGCATCGGTCGTCAACAGACCGGCCTGTGTTGCTGTTAAGACATGATTGGACCCATTTGAAGAGGGCTGTGATAGGATACGGAGGCCGGGACCTAGTCGTAGAGGGTTGGAGTTGTTGGTAGGAAGATGGTCTTGAGGTACCTCATCGCTAGGTAATAGGACAAGGGCAGTCATGATGCTAGACTGATAGCTGTATTCTGAAAATATCCTAAGTGTAGAATACTCCGAGGGAAGAGGACCAATGCTTATTGCTGGATTTCTCTCGGGCAGATAGATGCGACTGCTTTTGCGCATTGTTGGAAAGAAAACGACATTTCTTATCACCACGTGACCTCATTGAATGCCCGCGATGCCTTATCGACAACGCCACAACCACTATCGATAACTACTAGCCACATTTGCGGCAGACGAAAATCTTCAAAAATCTTTTTCGATCGTTCCCCCTCAATCGAGATTTCCACCAATTACCTCCGATACCCCCGGATCTACTCTCACGCCGTAACGTGAGATCCTTATTCTTTTAATCCAAAAAAGTACATATTTACAACTTCGACATGGGTGACGCTGCCAACAGTGCGCCCGCTGAGGCGGAGCGCTTTGCTATCGGTATCTCCTTTGGTAACTCATGCAGTTCGATTGCCCGTATCTCGCCTGTACGTCCTGATATTCATTCTTTAGGTCAAAGAACGGTGACTGACACATTTATAGGAGGGCAAGGCTGAGGTTATTGCCAACGAGGAGGGAGGTGAGGACAATCAAGCCCCACGAGTTGAGAATTTGAATTAACATACTCAGATCGTCAAATTCCTTCCATCCTTTCTTATATCGACGGCGAGGAGTACCACGGCACACAAGCCAAGGCCCAGCTTGTTCGTAACTCCGCCAACACCGTCGCATACTTCCGCGATTTCCTCGGCAAGGAATTCAAGTCGATCGACCCTACTCCCTGCCACCAGTCGGCCCACCCCCAGCAGCAGGGCTCGACTATCGCTTTCACCATCCGCGACACCTCGAGCGAGACCCCTAACACTGTCACTGTTTCTGAGATCACCACCCGTCACTTCCAGCGTCTGAGACGCTCCGCCTCAGACTACCTTGGTAAGGATGTCAACGCCGCCGTTATCACCATTCCCACCGATTTCACCGATGCCCAGCGTGAGGCCCTTGTTGCCTCCGCTAAGGCTGCTGGTCTCGACGTTCTCCAACTGATCCACGAGCCCGTTGCCGCTGTTGTGGCTTACGATGCTCGCCCCGAGGCGACTGTTGTCGATAAGCTGGTTGTCGTTGCTGACTTCGGTGGCACCCGTTCGGATGTTGCCGTTGTTGCCTGCCGCGGTGGCATGTACACTATCTTGGCTACTGCCCACGACTACGAGCTTGGTGGTGCCTCCCTGGATAAGATCATCATTGACCACTTCGCCAAGGAGTTCATGAAGAAGCACAAGACTGACCCCCGCGAAAACGCTCGTGGTCTGGCCAAGCTGAAGCTTGAGTGTGAGGCCACCCGCAAGGCCCTCAGCCTGAGCAGCAACGCTCAGCTGAGCATTGAGTCCCTGGTTGACGGTGTTGACTACGGTTCTACCATTAACCGCACCCGTTTCGAGCTTCTTTCCGGCAAGGTCTTCAGCCAATTCACTGCTCTGATCGAGCAGGTTGTTAAGAAGGCCGGGCTCGACGTCCTTGACATTGATGAGGTCATCTTCTCAGGCGGTGTTTCCCACACCCCCAAGCTCGCCAGCCTGGCCAGCAACATCTTCCCCGAGAAGACCAAAATCCTGGCTCCCGCCACCTCTGTCACTGCCGTTAATCCCTCCGAGCTGTCTGCCCGTGGAGCCGCCTTCCAAGCTTCCCTCGTCCAGGAGTTCGACCACGAGGACATCGAGCAGTCCATCCACCCTATGGTCACTGTCACCCCTCACCTGACTAAGGCTATCGGTGTCGAGTTCACCTCCCAGACCGAGACTACCTTCCAGCCCCTCCTCGGCGCCGAGACTGCCCTCCCCGCCCGCCGCATCGCTCAGTACTTCGCCCCCAAGGAGGGTGGCGATGTTCTGGTCCGCGTGTGCGAGGGTGCTCGTGAAATCAAGGTCACCAAGCCTGAGCCCAAGGCTAAGGAGGACAAGCCCGCCCAAGACGAGGATGACTCCGATTTCGATTCCGAGGACGAGGAGGAAGAGGAGACCCGCGAGATCATCTGGAAGACCGAGAATCCCGTTGCTGAGCTCGCCGTGAAGGGTGTCAAGGCTGGCAGCAAGATCGAGGTCATGGTCCACGTCAATGCCGATCTTGGTCTGCAGATCGCCGTCCGCGAGGTTGGCTCCCAGAACGCTGTCCGTGGTGCCGTCAACGGCTCCGCTTAGGTTTTTTTTCCTCGTGAAATAAAAATAAAAATGTTGGATTTCGTTTATGGTGTGATGATGCATGCATGACTGATAGAGGCTGTGATTTTTCTTTTTGTCCACGATTTGTACTGCAGTTACCGTCATGGAGTCTTTCCCTTTATTAGTTCTTAAATAGACTCAGTTATATGCAACCAATCAATACTGGTTCTCTTTTCAGCCAGCTTCACTCTGTTAGGTCCTATTCATTTTCTGGCGTATCAGTCGACATTTCTCCTTCTGCTCTACAAGGAATAATCATTGAGACTGGTTTTGCTCCAAAGCGTGGTTACACAAGAATCCAAGCTATATGACTTTATACCATTTACATCGCAAAGATCATCAAATAACGGTGGTAGATATTATATTACAACTAGATTAGATAGGTTCGCAACCGAAAGCACAAATTCCTGCATGATCTTCAAATCGGGGAGAATCATCGAACCATGGGATTCATCAACAGATCATCAAAGGCTCGAGTGCCTTAGAAAACATAACCGGACTCAAGGCAGGGAGAGTATGGCGCGAAGAATGCTCAATTGCCATCTTATACAGGAAGGCCGTAGATTTATCATGTGGTAAAGATCGTGAGGGGTTCGTAATAGCATTAAGCGAGTGTGGGTGGTTCGATCTCCCAGGCTGCATCCGGGTCTATCAGATGCAGATTGACAAGATCGAAGTGTAACAAGCGGCCTCCTGAAGAAAGAATAAACTCTCAAAGGGGATATCAACGCAGGAATACAAAGTCGTGTGTGAAATGGTCCAGAGATCGACGTTTTCAAGTCGACATTTTCAGGTGCTCCGGCTCGTTGTCGAAATGAGGAAGCGGGCTTTTCATGGCTTGAGGTATATCCATTTAAGCGAAGCTCGTGCCCTCCTTCTTCTGGCTTTTCACGCTGTTTGAGCGCTGCGAGGAGAAGAAACCACGGCGGCGCTCCTTGCGTCCACTGTATCCACCGCTGGTATCTTTTCGGCCGACGGCACCACCGAGGCAGTACATCAAGCATGAAAGGAACTGGCAAACGGATGCGGTCCACATGAAGGCGAATGCCTTGACACCCAGGTGTGCGTCCTGGCCGTTACTCTTGAACGCGTGGCGGCCCTGGACAAAGACAGCACTATGAAATATAGTTAGCATTGTGTCTTTGGGACAAACTAAGTTCCGATTATAGTGATACATACGTCATGAGACAGGTCGTGATGACCTGGAAAGTCAAACCGATCCAGGCCAGGAAACCGGAGAGGTAGCTGGCGATGCGGGTGCACATGGCCAGCATGCCAGTGAAGAAAGAGCACACGGCGAAGAACAGACCGATGATGATGAAGGGGAACATGAAGCGCGACATCAAGAAGTAGTGCTTCGATCTATAGCGCGCGTATGTATGGTTAGCGCGACCCGGTAAATTAGGATATATCAGTTGGGAACCTACCCGACAAACTGATGAGGGATATTTTCGGTCGTGTTAAAGTTACGATGGCTTGGGGGGTCGAATGGGAAATCCACATGGGTCTCTCCGCAGTCACTCCTGCCGTTGGTCACTCCACAGAGGTTCCAGAATGTCCATCGCGAGGTCGATGCTGCGCCTGGGATATTTCCCGTGTCTGCCTCGAGGAAGTAGATTTGGTTCAGCGGGTTGCTGTTGCGTACACCTCCCAACAGAGTGAGGAAGATCAGCAAAATCGCTCCTGCCATGAAAAACAGGCCCGTAAAGCCCAATGTTGCTCCTAGAGACGACGATCAGATTAAGGTGTTGTAGAGTTGTTGATCAGGGGCCAATCAACTTACTGCTGAAACCCATTTTGTTTGGCGCTTATTATAGGTCGCACTGGGAATTGAGGGGCTTTTTTTTTCTTTTCGAAGGTTTGTCTCTGATCTCAAAAAAGAATGAGTTGCTCAAGGAGAGTGTCAAGATATGAAAGAGAAGGTGTCAGAATTTGAAGCGACAAACGCTAGCTGGTATATGGATACATATAAGAGCAGCCGGGGTATCCGGCAGTGGGCACTGGGTAGTGTGATATAATGACGAGTGGGCATCATCCTGCTCTCCTCTCCTCTCTACAAAGCTCAAGCCCATCGATGATCATAACGTCATGGTTGCACCTGATTGACTAGCCGTTCCTGGTTAGCCCGCACTCTACTTTCCGCGCTACACCAGATCGGGTTAGTCCCAGGCGGTCCATGACGAGGTCAACAACCAACCGACGTTGCACCTCTCGCAACAACATTGGCCCTTTGGAAAGAAAGTGACGTGGACCATCGTGGACCATCACATATGAACCTTCCAAGATTTCGGTCTTACCCACTCCTGTGCCTTAACGAAAAAAAAAAAAAAAACTTGTCTGCCCAACCCGATCCCCAGACTCGACCAAGGGTACACACTGCGTACCTCCCAACCCGTACAACGTTGTAATGGCGACCTGGGCATACCCGCCACTGCCCGCAGAGCAGATCAACCGTGAGGCGGACACTGCGCTGGTATGTAAAACAATATATGGACCCCTACAACAGGCGATCTCTTCATGGAGGCCTGGTTGGCTGTAGCTATGATCCATGAAGGAGTGTGGAGCCTTTTTAGTATAATGCCAACAACGTCTTATCTTAGGCCCGAGAGCTAGAATGGCTATTGCATTCGCTGCAGGATTCGCTTGCCTCATTGAAGGAAGGTCTGCAAGAATGTGTCGCCCTCTTAGCTCCTCGAGAACCGGGGTCAACCTTGGTGCTGTCCTCCTTACGGTCGGAAAGTGTCAAGGGCTTCGTGACTAGAGTCGGCACCAAGGTCGTGAAAGGCGTATGTATCTTGAGTGTGGGGAAGACCAATGAATATGCAACTAAACCGATATCTTTCTAGGATGTTCAACTTCGTCTTGCATCGCTCCCGCCTCCTCGGGGTGCCCCCAGCACCCGACTGAACATATCCCAGTCCCCTGGAGCTCCAGAACTCGTACTTCGACAGCTGGTATCGGTTCGAGATCTCGTGGCTCAGAGCCTGGATATTGTGGATGTGAGCACGTGGACAGGCGATCCTCTCAACGCTGGCTTCATTTTCAGTCAACTACACCTTTTGCTTGAGACAATCAGTGAGGCGCGACAAATGTTGAAAGGAGAAAGCGATGAGACGCGAGGCAAGTGGTGGGATACCAGTGCCACCGAAGATGTATGTTCGATTTCTTCGACAGAAGTCCTTCGATATTTTGCTGATATGTATACTACACAGATGTTTGACCCTCCGCTTCCGCCGCACCTTTCTTTCCATCTCTCCATCACAGACTCTGCCCTGGTCCTTGTCCTTCGGACTCTAGAGCCCACTGCCCTCAATCACGCGCCAACTGCTTTTTCCTCAGATATCTCCCTGACCGGGTTCTCGCTACGAGATCGGATATTCGGCTCGCGAGCGCCAACCCATGATGAGGCCGGCAGCCTTTTTCAATGGCAGGGAGAAGAAGTTCGTGTTAAGGAGAAGGTGCGGGTGGAGAGCCAAGATCCTAGTCTGATGGCGGTCATGGCGAAACTATCGGCCCTTGAGCATGAAGTGATGCGGTGCGTTGCTGCGCTGCGAGTGCTCATGGGCGATGAAGATACGGAGAGCGAGGCTTAGTTATTTTATTGATACCCTACTGCATTTGAATATGAACAGCCGTTTGTTGCAATACTTGATTCATTTAGTATTCGAGTTAGGGCCTTTAGAAGTATTGAATGGTAGGTTGAGATATGTTTTTAGCGGCCACCTTAAGGTTTCCTAGGGCTAGGACTTTGTTAGCATGCCGTATGAAATATATCAGCAATATAACCTCATATTCCTAGATATGTACCAACAAAAAAAAAAAGCGTTCTCGGATGTTATAGATCTTTGATAGGTACTGTAGAACCGACCGGGGGACCAGCCAATGAGAGGCCCGCAGTTTGTGATGGGCCCGCAGGACCATCTTGGCATCTTTTTCTAGGCTTGGCCATTTTCTTTTTTTTCCTCTCTCAACCTCTCGAAAAGGGACTGTCGACAAGAGTTGGAAAATGTTGTCCTGGTCTTCAGCATCAGGCGTCAGTCGGTCGCAATCACGCGAACTATTTCACACCTTTTCTCGCCCTTCTGGATCGCGACAGCTTCGCGGACCTGCCAACCGTGTGATACCTACACAGCAACGCACTTTCGTCCAGAAACCGTCGCCTTTGGTCGCGTCTAGTAGTTTGGCGCACCGAAGGAACACAGCATCACAATGTCAGCCTCAGCGGAGGTTTTTGTCAGGCCCAGCATCCGCCGACTTGCCACCTCAACCTAGCCAATCCACCGAACCAGATGATATCAATACCCTAATCGATCGAATCGGCGAAAATGAGGCAGAAATGGTACAAATACTCGAAGAGCTGGAAATGATGGGAGAGGGTGAAAGAGACGAGCTCATGGACCTGATCGGCCAGCGAGACGAACACACCGCAGACTCGTGGGTACACATGATTAAACAGCGCTTTGGAGATGAATTGCCAGGGGGGTTGTTGGACGATGCCGAGCTCCAGATATACGCCCGCCTCTATGGAGAACCGATCATTCGGCGGGAAGTTGAAGAAACGGTTGAGGAAGAGGAAGATCTGAGCTTGCTCCGCGAAGATGGACAAGGAGGGTGGGAGGAAGTCGATTTAGAAGGAAACGCTGTCGCCGAGGACGATGCCCCACTCGTCTATGATATGGATTTTTCCCCGGAAGAGGAAGAGCGGGAAACACTTGCCATGCAGCGGACCAGAGAAGTGGCAGAGCAGTTGGGCGGCGAGGTCATGCTCGAGGAATTTGAGAACGAGGCAGTTCCTGACTCCGCTCCAAGAATGCATCCACTCACCCTCGAGGGAAAATACGGAACTGATCCTTCAACTATCCATCTGCCCCAGGATACTGTCACTGGTCCCATATCGGTAATTCTATCGGAATTCTCGAACAAGCACATTTCCGAGACTGCTCGGCGCCTGTTTGGAGGACCAGGATTGCCCCATTCGAGTACAACGGCACCTCCGCGTGCCCAATTACCACAGCTTCCTGTCGCTCTCCAGGCTTCGCAGCGTCAAATGGGAGAAATGGAGGCCAACGCATATTTGGCAGCCCTGTACCCTGGAATCTACGCATCGACCCTCAGTGTTATGGTTGAGATTCGCAAGCGATTGGGCGTCGATTGGATCCGCCGTCTCATCGCTCAAGAGGGTGGCCCAAACGTTCTTGATGCCAACGGTGGTGGTGCCGGCATCCTGGCCTGGAGAGATATCATCCGCGCAGAATGGGAGCTCATGGTGCCCGATCATCCCGCGGGAGCACCCATCCCATTTGGGAGATCAACTGTGCTGACAGGCTCCGATGCCCTTCGGCTGCGCGCTTCTGCCATTCTGGAAAACACCACTTTCCTCCCACGACTACCTGATTACGTCCATGTGCGCGGGAAGCCTACAATTGACGACTCGCGGAAGGCCCCTAAACGCAAGCAGTACGATATCATCATCGCACCACACTCTCTTCTCGGCCTTGAAGAAGAATATGAGCGTAAACAGCACGTGGAGAACCTATGGTCTCTTTTGAACCCCAACGGGGGTATTTTAATTCTGCTCGAGAAGGGCCGCCAGAAGGGCTTCGAGGCTATCTCTGGCGCTCGTGAAATGCTCTTGAAGCGCCATATCGCAAGTCCCGGCTCTACCGAATTTGACAACTTCCTCGAAGACCCCGACCAACGCGAGGTCATTGAGAAGGAGCGCGGCATGATCGTGGCCCCCTGCACCAACCACTCAACCTGCCCGATGCACAATTCTGCAGGTGCTACGAAGGGTCGTAGGGACTACTGCCATTTTGAGCAGCGATACATTCGCCCTCCATTCCTGCAGCGCATCATGGGAGCGAAAGACCGCAACCACGAAGATCTTAAATTCAGCTACCTCGCCGTGCAGCGTGGCGTAGACCTACGACAAGAGCAAGCAATTCGTCAAGATTCCGAGGCTACAGATGCCGCATTTGAAGGATTCGAGGACCCCGAGGAGTCTGATATCCCCAACAAACCAGCATTCCACGCTCTGTCCCTTCCCCGCGCCATTTACCCACCCATGAAACGCCGCGGCCATGTCATCTTCGATCTCTGCACACCCGCCGGCAAAATTGAGCGCTGGACCGTCCCGCGCTCTTACAGTCGCCAGGCCTACCGCGACGCCCGCAAGTCTCATTGGGGAGACCTTTGGGCCCTGGGAGCCAAAACCCGCATTGCGCGCAACCTGAACCTTGGCGATAAGCATGGTGAGGGTAAGAAGGAGCGTCTGGCCCGCCGTGCGGCGACCAAGAATTCTATGCGTGACGCAGAGGAAGAGGGTGACTTTGAGAATGAAGGAGAGGAGGATGAAGACTATGCAGTTGATGACTCGGATATTCCGGATGTCCCTGTCAAAAAGAGGGGCCAGCATATCCCCAGTTGGAAGAAGCATAATGATAAAAAGAAGCTTCGTCAAGTGTACAACAAGCGTTCTGCCGACGAATAAGTGGCTTTGATTTGGCGCAATTCTTTTTTTTGGGATTTGGATGTTCGAAAACACGTACTATACTAACTACTGGCAGCATTTGGCATTGGGACGGGGGGCGGATTGGATCTTGTTTGTACACTAGGATATTATTCTCACTTCTACAGATGTAACTATAGCATCTTCACTCTAATTAATATTTGATAGGTATCTGATAGGCGTCATTTAGCCCCGAGTCAATTTTCCTCTCTCCAATGAGACGGTTGGGCATTCCACTAAGTCGGTCGTAATGAAGCATAGTCTTGTCACGACCTGGGGGAACTGAGCCAAGCCCAAGAAGCGCCAATAGTCACGGAAGCCTTGTCTGAGTGGAGCACTGCAATGAACACGAAGTTCTTTGAATTGCACTGGGCGCGAGAGGCATTGATGTTCTGAGAAAGACAGTCGCTGGCTTCAGGCTTGGTGCTGTTCTAGCCGGAGCTGGCGCATCACTCACAGTCAAGAATGACATGGATTGAAATCAGATGAAAGTCAGGTTGAAGCCAAATCCTACTGACAAGCTAGTCGGTTTTCGTAATAGCAGATATTCCTATCTCGCAAAGTGACACCGCCGCATTCACTGCGCAGCCATACTCTTTCGCAACTGCCTTTGCTTCTGTGTGCTTTGCAACTCTAATCGATCGACTGCGAACTTGAGCCGTTCTTTCTTCTGCACGAGTCTTCTCAACTCTGCTGCCTTGGATGCTGCTGCATTACCCGACGAGCCAGCGCCGGACCCCACCATGCGACCCCGCAGTGAGCTGCTTTGAGGTTGGCTGCGAGTAGCTGATGACCGGCTTTCCGGGGTGGATGAGAGCCGACCTTCTTGCAGGTCGCATTTCGCCTTTAGGCCTTGTTCGCGGCGCGCGAGCTTTTCAACATGGTTCGATGATAGTGTGAGGAGGTGGGCGATGCTGGGAGTGATTTCGTCAAGGAGGGATTGCTGCGCTTCGCGTAATGTAGGCTCCGGGAGGAGCTCAAAGTGCTATTCAAAGACAAATGGTTAGACTTATAGCTTCACGTTTCTCCTCTTGGATGACACTTTGGGAGAGCATACGCGAGTTGTCTGGAGGACTTTACATAAACGAGGGAAATCGTTCACGCCCGCATCGAGGGTGGATATAGAGTTGTCCAAAATCTGAAGAGAGGATCGTAATGAGGAAACCGAGGAAGACAATGAAGCTGCCATAGTGTGCGATTTGAAGCTCAATTTGGAGATGATTGTTTACAGTGGCCGGGATAGATCGGGCTGTAAAAGCGGCATGACACCGCCTTTAAGGCGGCGTGGCCTCTGGACCGGGCAAACCTCCCAAACCTCACTTCTCCTCTTCCGTCCTCCTGCCTCACCATCTTCCCGAACGCCGAATTCTCCCCGCATTCGATTCACCTGTCAAAATGTCTCTCCTCGGAAAGAAGTTCCCCGGCGCTCTGGGTATGTGTTTTTTGGACCACGATCATGACTTGTCGGAGAACGATATGAGGACCATTGACTGACGCATATGTTCTTTTACAGCCACACCTATGACTCCCTTCTTCGCTGCCGGTACGCATGTCCTTGAAATCCCGAAATGCCCTGACAATCCGGAACGCATGGATTGCCAATTAAGAATACTGCACCCATTCAGCGGTCATTGATGGAACACTACTCTGACGATTCTCCTCTCCAGGCCTCATTGTGCTCTACGGTGTCAACTCTCTCCAGAACGCTCTGTCCAACAGTGAGTCCACTCTGCACGGCTATTCATAGATGACGCCGATTTTGCGGTCCCATGCGACAATATCCACAAAACGACGCTATGATAAGCATCTGCGAGTGTCAATTACTAACATTCATATCCGTACAGCCGCTCAGTACAAGAACGACCCCCGCAACGTCAACGCTAAGCCCGCTGGCAAGGCTGACCACTAAATTGGGTCGACAATGAATGCATTTTGAGATCCCACTTGTTCGTTGAAGAGGAGCGGGACGAACCGTCGCGATGTGTGGGCGGCCGGAGATAGCCCAGGTCATCAATGGCCGGCTTGCACTTTTTGTGGTTACTCTGCGAGCAGTTTTCCCCTGTTCAAGCATATAGAGTGTATTCACTTCGATTGGGGTGACTTGGATCAATTCACAAGCTGTACCAGTACCATTCTGAGCAAGGCGCCTTTTCCTTTTGTAGTGTCTCTTCTGCTGGATGATAACCTATATTTCAGAGCAAGGAAAGTAACCTAAGCCGAATATTCCGGAGCCTGTTGATTTACAGGTAAAGCTATAGGGTTTGGACTGTATACTTCATATCTGCTCATAGCGGCGTTATCTCACTTAGGGCTCGTTTTCCACTTCTTTGCGACCGCGCCATAAGTGGAATTTTCCCTTATTTACAATGCTGTGTCATTTAATTTTGATTGTAATAGCTATCCCTCACAATATTCGTAGTAAAGTAGGGCCGCTCTCTTGCATCAAATACGCTAAACCCGATCGGGCATCCAATTTTCGCCAACTCCGCCTGGCCGAAGGACAATCGTTTTCCGACCTCAACTCCGCAATATCCCCAATTAAACACGCCAAAATGAGTAAAACGACTAAAATGGCAGGGCTTTTCCGGCCCAAGAAGCTTGATCTCTCTGGATTTGTCAATACCCGCTTGATTCGGGACAACAACAAGCGCATGGCCTTCGAGCAGACTGAGCCAGAACGGTACGAACACTGTCCTTCTCCTAGATGCTCCAGCTTGACCGAGGATGGATATCCCGAGCTGGAAAACGCTGGGAATTGAAACACAAATGCTGACTCTGTCTTCCTTCGCAGACAAGCTCTCCGCTACATGATCCGCAACACCTCTCTCTCTGGCCGAGTGCGCGCGCAGGCTCAGCTCCAATTGGCGCAGATGCACCCCTATACTCGCCCTACGCAGATCAAGAACCGTTGTGTGGCATCAGGCACTGCCCGCAGTGTCTTCCGCGATTTCAGAATCAACAGAGTAAGTGGGAGACTCCAGCCAGTGGCCTCATATTGCTAACACTATCTTTTTCTATAGTACCAATTCCGTATGCAAGCCCTCGCTGGTGAACTCCCCGGCGTGAGGAAGGCCAGTTGGTAATTGTATGAGATTATTGCTGGTTCTCTGTAATATGTGGAGAAATCTAGTTGAATTGTTTGCACGATGGCGTTTTCTTCTTTCCTTCCATGGGGTGGAAGCATGTACAGTATGCATCTCTCATTAGTCGAGAAATCAAATCTTTTTGTTATTTTTGGATCCTCCGGTTCAAACTCTGCTACTCTCGGCGTAGGCATTGACTTATTGACAGGCCTAGGCGTTGCCTGATCCTCGTTTGCTGATGTCGTGAGATCAGGCTTTCTTTGTTGGCAGTGTTGAGATCGTCTCAATTGGGTTGTTTGCTTCTATCATGGTGGTTAGTTGCAGATCAGCCCGGCTGATTTGATTGATACCTGACTGGTAATTCATCATATCAGCTCAGTGGTGTATATCATCCTCAATATCAGTGAGAAGATTCTTCATATTCGCATCATCCCCAGTAATTGCGCAAGTAGGCAGCTCCTCGATACTTGCCATAATCATATCGTGTCCTGTCCTGAAATCGCGTTCGAAACTGCGGCGCCTTCTGGTCCTGCTCGTATAAAACCTCCCACCTCTTCCTTTCGTTTTCTTCTTCCTCTTCCTCTTCTATTTAACCATCACTCATAACCATCACCCATCTTCCCCTTTTGTCCCTTTGACCTTCTTCTCAAATCAACCTCACACATTGATTTGAAGCTTCGCCACAATGAACAGCATTTCGGAGGATCTCCTCCCCGATGACATCGTCTTCCCTGAAGACCTGCTGGAACTTGGGTAAGTTTTTCCGTGGTTTTCAACGTGACATCTCAGCCTTGGAGTCTAACAGTCCATTGAATGGTACAGATTCGTCATCACCAAAGATGACAAGATTCGTTACATCGACGCCCCGGGCCAGGGCCCTCGATACAAGATCAACCGAAGTGACCGCATAAACCAGGTCCACATTGAGGCCCTTCACAGTGAGCTAACCCTCAGATTCATTTCCATCCTAGAATATGGTTTGGATGAATCATTTGGCGCTAACAACTCCACAGAAGCGATTCACATCAGCATCATTGACCGGCTCCTGGGAATGGGCATGCATTTCATGAAGGTCCCCGAGGGCAGCAAGCAGCAGCTTCCCATCATGGTGTCGGGCAACGTGACCGCTGCACCTCGAGTTGTTGTTTTATTCGGTGAGATTGTCGAGGATCTGGGCGTCTTCTCGTACCGTGACGCTTGCGACGATGGCATCTCTTTCGGTTCGATCCTGGGCTTTGCAAAGGGTCTGCTCGGTGAGAATTCTCTAGATTCGCCGAATGCTCTTATTCTTGCGAACGCGGGCCAAACCGTCTGGTACAATGGAAATGGTGGCTCGGCGATGACCACAGACAGTCTTCATGGCCAACATCGTGCCTCTGCCGTGCACCGCGAACGTTCACTGGGTGCTCGTAACATTATTAGGGGCAACATCTCCATCGATGATCATGTCCGGAATATCTTCGAGCAAGTCTTGATGCGCGGTAACTTCCGAGTCGATGCCAGAATCGACGTCATTGGCCTGTCTGAGGGCGGCCATGCTGCCATGGCATACCTGAAGAATCGATGTGAGTGTCTGACTGAATAAAATACCTAGAGTTCGCTTACTGAGATGGTCCTAGGGAGTTTCTGGATGCCCCACATCTCCTCCCTGTCCTTGATCAACCCCGAGACGATTGTTAGCACTAACGCTAACAAGGCTTCCGACCCAGAGGAGAATGACTTATTCGGCTGGTTCATGAAATACCGTTGCCGTGGCTGGACCATCTGTGATCAGCCAATTGGTACACGTCTGCGCGGCCTTACCCTCCCTCATGGTTGCAACACGTACTCCTCCGGCGAAGGCACGAAGTCGTCGGGCATGATTACTCGTGGTGTGGGACACATCTTGACCTGGATGAACATTATGCATTACTCCCCGGCGGCTATAGAGAGATTTGATGTGGTCAAGGGCCAGTATAATCCCAACTTCGCAGCTGAGCTCGGAGCAATGATCTACGGAGACCAGGCGAAACTCCCTAGCGGCAAGATTGAAGTGCACAGCCTGGATGCTATGAAACAGATTAAAGACTTCCTGGCTGGCGTCAATTTCACCGAGGAAATGACCACTTTTTTCAATGACAAGTCGTACTCCAGTGACGATAGTGACAACGAAAGCGATAACGACAGTCAGCGTTCGGTTGTTTACGCAGATAAGAACAATGGTGTGTTTGGCGTCCGTCCTGCCGTTCCTGGCACTCCTAACTCCTTCAGGTGCTCCGAACACTCCTCCTGACACTCCTGACACTCCTGGCGCTCCTGGCGCTCCTGGTGGTTCTGGCACTCTTGACATGCTTGACGTGCTTGTTGACATGCTTCCTGACGCTTCCCCTGGCGCTTCCCCTGGCACTTCCTCTGATGCTCCTGGTGTTCGTGATGTTCCTTCCGCCGTACCTGGCGGTCCTGACGTTCTTTCTGACTTTCTTGCTGACGCACTTTCCGTTCCGGAAAGTCCAACCTACTATGACGACGTAATCGTCGGTAAGACTGGCCCGTTCGACCTCAGTGATCTGCAGGCCATCCGAGAGGAGGACGAAGGGCAAGAGTAAATCCTCCGAGGAGTGCGCCCTGGGTTTCTCTGGATTTTTTGTTTCCCGGTGTTCCTACCGGTTTATTTTTGCTTTTGCGCTGAGGTTATTCGCGAGCAGATGCATGTTCTTTCCTCCCTGCTTGAGGTCAATTGGCTAGAAAATACAAAAAGCACAAAAAAAGAAGGGAATGAAAACCATCTGCGGAGATAGCGAATCAATAAAACCTAGCGTATCAATTTCCCAGGCCATTTTACTGTATGCGACGTGAGTACATATGTACATATGTAGCGGATAATGCCTGGCACTCGAGACCTTCCCCCTTCCATTTTAGTGCTTACCTCTTGCCGCTTTTTGATCTCAGAGTAAAATTGAGCACGCCCCTGAACACTCTGACCCGCTCACAGATCATTACATAAGCCGATTAAGCATCATGTGACTATCACATGAGCAATCTGATCCACTCACTGAGTAGAGGACTGAACGACCTGAGTAAGCTACATCAATAAAAGCGATACGCTAGCCTCGTCACGTGTAACCATTTCCATCTAGATTGCCCCATCCCATCCTATCAAAAAAGGACTGGCGCCGTCAACGTGACCGTTCATCCAAGCGGTCTCGATCCTATCCAAGCGAAAAACTCGCAGTGGGGCTACTCAATTGACCTATCAATCTCCCATTTCAGCCTATGCTCCTGGGAATACCCCTCGGAATACTTCGCTTACAGCCCGGCGATCCCCTAATCGGGCTTTGGACTGCTACCAGGGCGAGGGCTACTGGATGGATTTCCCTGAAGATCTAGAATCATCCCCTGTATCAGGGCAACTAGAGTAATCAGTGTTCAGCAGATGACGACGATGAACCACTTCTCCCACCAATGAGCGCACAAGCCGAAGTTTTTCCTGAGCATATAATTCGCGCCATTGCTAAGTAAATTGTAAGCCGAAGACAAACAATCAACAGTAATTCCCTGATGAGCTCCTGGGAGCCCGCGGCGTGTTCCCAGTAGCCAACCAGAGTGCATTACGATACTCATGAGGCCCATAAACTATTTTGTTTTAGCTGACCATTTAGTGAGACCTAAGCCGAATTCCCAGGAACTCTCTCCCCGCTCCAAATTTCCGCCTGAAGTGATGCAATCACAAAAGGGATATATATCGAGCCTTTCCCTCCTCATTCCTCTGCCTTTTAATTACTTAACCGAAACCAAAGTCTGCTTTGGATATCGCACAGTGGGTCCAGCCTTCGTTCACTCCTTGATCCGCGTCAACTGATTGATCTCCAGATTGGCATTTTTTTTGTTCGTGAGGGCCGAACCTAAGCGATTCACTACTTCCATTGCCAAAACGCAAAAACTGCGCAGCGAAGCGTCTGCGCCCTTGTGGAAGCCTTCAAAGCCTCTAAAAAGAATAACCGAGGCTTCAACTTTGTCGTCGATCGTTTCCGTTGACGCTCCTCTAAGGAAATGTTCATCAGCATCGAGCCAACCAGAGCCTAGGAAGCTCGGCCATGAATCCAACATCGTCTCGGTTGGTATTCTGGAGCAACGGAGATGCATGTTTTAACTTCAGGACACTTCCAGAGTGGACGGAACACGCGGCTAACGATACTATGCACGAATCGGACCAAGATCGTCTTGATTTCACCGAGGACATAGAAGCGCTACTATTTCCCTCTATAAAGAACTCAGTCTGTCCATAAGTTTACAAACCGTCAGCATTCCGAGTTTGTCTCTACAAAACCATCTTCCGTTAGAAAAAAAAGACTAATATGACGTTGTTATACAGATTCTTCTGATGCTGCAGAGTGCAGTGATTGTTTGCTTACAGTGGCGATTTATTCCAAAGCCACATGTGGAAGCAGATGTCTCTATGGAAGAATTCCAAGATGAAGGGATTGTATGCTCTAGTGTGGGCAGTTGACAGTTTCAAAATTCACTGCTGCTGAATACCTCTGAAATAAAGACAATTGGATAGCGAGGGAAACATATTCAAGCCACTGATTGTTGAGACGTGACTCGCATATGCTTGATACGACCTCTGATGTCGCAATAAGTTCCAAAGGCCCAAATGAAACATGTACGTGGACTTCATTCGGGTACAAGTGGTGTGGTTGCCAAGAGTATTACGCAGGAGAACTACAGCGGACGGGGCTTTCTAACATGAGCTTCCTTGAGACCTGAGAGGAGGCAGATCCGTGCTTGAACTCCCTGGTCTGATTCCACCTACCAAAACCCACTTCTACTTGCGTATGCCCTGCCCCTTCTTCTTCTCAGGCACAGGGAGGTTTTCGAGTCTCGTGTGCTTCAGTCAAGTGAGACATACCAACGATTGCCCCTCCCACGCTATATGTTGATCAACATGCTCAATAGTATGGTTCCAGAAGCTCACGAGCTTGGCAGCCTAATAGGGGCTTGCAAAGTACTGGACCAGGTGC